AAACTGACGTCTTAATTGGTATTTCACTAGTTTCCCCGTTTGATGCACTTGTCAGCTACGTTTTCCCAGGAATTTAAGGGAACTGAAGGGCTGACATTGACACTCAAAGTCGCTTTGATTTGGTCTGGAAAAGCAGGAGAATTTTGACTTGCAAGTGAAAAATAAGAAAAATAAATAAAATTCTACTTGAAGAAGTGTTTTTAGATTTTGTGTTAAATATAAACGTGGAAAATTAGGGCTTGGATTTTACATTTTGTTTTTCTTGAGTAAATACAATGCATGAAGTGTTAAGCAAATTTTGTTAATAACTTTTTTATTTTTTTTTATTTTATTATTTGTTTTGTATTTTCTAAGATAAATACAATTCTTTGAGTAGATACTTGCATTAAATTAAAACCAAATACTCGAGTAATTTAGTACTTTATACGAATATTATTTTTATATATGAATAGCTTATCAAACGTACTTTCAACTTTTTATTTCCTTGTGTCATATTTTGTATTTCAAGTTATTTTTACATTTCAACAAATCAGTTCATCAAGAATCCCAGACAAACGGGGCAAATTGAGCCACATTCCCGAACTTGAGCTCGAATTGCGGCGGACTCGTCGTTGCACTCGGTGCATGTTTGACCATAATGAGATGTCGCCTTTTGGCATTTGACACCGCCTCGTCGGGTTTTCCGCCTTCATCAATCACGGCGACATGCGGCAAATGAATTAATTACAGCCCGCCTGCTCCTGATGAATAGCAGGTGAATAATGAATGTACCGACCAACCGGCAAAATGAATAAATCGAATTAGCGGCGAGCGTTTTCGCGGAATCAGAGAATCTGAGTGGGTTTTCAGGGTCAGTCGGCTATATGGACATGGGAATGCAATTAAGTGGACAGGAGATGCGGGATGCAGGATGCCGGATGCAGGATGAGATCATTTGACCTTGGCTCCTGCACAAGGACAACAAGGACTGGCCGCAAATCATCTGGGAACAAAGTAGTTTATTCGACCTTGGCTTCCGTTGACATTGCACTCATTCGATTTGCCCTTTTCCGCATCGCAAATCCGATTTGATTTCCTGCGTTCTGCATTAAGTACTCGATACTCGATACTCGGTACTCGGTACTCGATACTGTGTACTCTTTATGCTGCATTCTGCATTCCGTATCCTTCATCCTGCATTCATCCTTCGGCCGTTAATTGCATCACAACGGCAACATGTGGCACTCAGGCGGTGGCAATATATCTCGACTTTCCCAGCAGCCATCGATCAACCGCTGTCGCAGTTTCGGATTATCCGAATGTGGGTGGCTCAACTCGAATCGCAAAATGCGGAATTGTTTTCCTAGTTCTCAGTGTCATTAGACTGAGATTCATTGCTGTCACTTCGTTCTATCTTCATCCAACAAAGAGTCCACCTGCCAGTAATCGAATGTCAACAGGATGTTCCCCGGGGTATCAGTATTAGTTTTTATACAAAAGTGGGCCAGCTCTTATAAAAGTGAGTAGCTTAATTGAATGCATATTTAAACAATTTGTGTGCTGCAAATATTAATGCAAAAAAATACTGCAATTAACAAATAATGCCAGCTTTTCCTTCACATTCCGAGGAGTTAATTTATTTCAATTAAATCATATTTATCCTTATCCTTCCCAATAAATTACTCCTTTAAATCATCTTTCCTTTAATGCAGCGGTCACCTGGCCGCAAATTAAATTTAAATTTCAAGGCAAAGGGCAAATACACTGAAAAGAAACAGGATATCATTAGAAAGAGATTGCCTGGGGATCGTTTACTCCAATTTTCTTTTAATGATGAGGAAGTAATATTGAAAATTGACATTCCATTTGAAAAGGTGTTTATAATTTTGTTTATAAAACTTAGACATTAATTTTTGTAATAGATATTATGATGTAAATGTTTCCAAATTGAATAAAACCAACTATCCCTGTTTTCCTGGCTGCCTGACAGTCGAAAAATTCAAAGACGAAGTCTCGCAAGAGAAATAATTGTGGAAACAAGAAACTTAATATCGAGCTCGCAAACTTTTTGCGTAAAGGTAAACAGTCGAATTTGGATTTAATTAAAACTTGTGCTTACATTCATTTCGCATTTCGGGTTAAAACCCGACTTCACTTCGGAAATGTTTTTTTTGTTCAGCCCATTGTGCAAAAAGTGATTCTGTTCCCGCTGCATCGAAATCTCGAATTGCAGTTTTAATCAGGACATCGCCTGATGCCTCCACCACCTCCAAAAACACACAGATTTTCCAGGGAATTTTGAATTATTTGGCTTTCGAACAGAGCAAATGAATTTGGAGAAAGGAGGCGAGGAAAGCCCTGTAAAGTGAAACTTTCACCAAAACCCCGAAAGTCGGTGTCTCATTAAATTTTAACCCTAAGCTGAGATAAAATGCTGTTTGTGTTTTATGTCGGCTCAAATGGCAGCACTTTAGAATTCGTTGCAAAAATGTTTTTCTAATTCTGTGGAAAAATACCTTTAAATATTTACCTTAAAAGATAGAGGCTTTTGTTTTAAATATCGATTAGAAAATTCTATATTTATTATATTTATTTTATTTTCTTTCTATCTTTTTTCAAAATTTTTTTAAGCAAGTCAAACAATCAAAACCAACAATTTGTAAATTTCAATTCATCAAATCTAGAATGTCTACCTCTTTCATGGGGGATCCTTGGTTTTTGGTCCTCGGTGGTGGTCGCCACCCAACTTATCTGCATTCGTGGGCGTTTTATTTCACTCGGCAGATATTTTAATTGCGTATTTCTGGTTGCCAAGCTGGCATCTGGCAAACTGAGAAAACCCTCTGGGAAAACGAAAGGGGGGCAGGGGAAAAAGGTGAAGGGAAATTCTATTCCCTGGATGCAAAATGCAGAATGCAGCACCTGCTAATTGGCCACCTGTCACCAACAGTCAGCTGATTCCGAATAAATCATGAGCTCTGCATTTTCCCCATTTTTTCCTACGTTTTTTTCAGAGACGCAAACTTCGAGTGACAGGTTGTTGCTACTTAAATGGTTCGAAATCTGTTTCCATGAGTACATTGTGGGCTTTCGAGCGTCCATTTCCATTTGCATCAAAGCAGCTTATTGGATTAAAACTAGAAAAAGGCTTTAAAAAATATTATTTCGTTAATTTGTTGCGATATCCATGAAGTCGAATAACTGAATGTATGTGTAAACTAATTAAATTAATTAAGTTCCAATGAACTTCATTAAAAAATTAAAGCTTTTTAATTTATTTATCTATTGGCAATGCCATTAGTTGGACTTGGATTGGATTATTTAAACGGCTTCAGTGAACTAAATTAAAAAGGCAGAGCTTTAATAGTTAAAAGTAAGCTAAGATTGGTTTTATTTAAAAATCATAGATTATGGATTTATTCAACAAGTATTTAAAAATTGGATTGGTTAAAAATCTAAGCTATTGCATTTATTCAACCATTAGAAATGCCACCAATTTGATTTCAGCACAAGTAAATTATTGAAATATTTAGACAGCTTGTGAGCTTAAGTTGGCTTTATTCAGAACTACACAACTCGTAAACAAATGCAAATGCCACTGCCAATGTATTTATTTAACTTGTAGAAAAGCAAGCTCTCTATTTTTATTTTGGGAAAAAAAGGTATTTGAAAAATTGATTTCGGTAGGTAGCACTATTCGAGAAACTTTCTATCTCGTATATTTAGAAAATACCCTTGACTTAACTGAAACTTAAAGCAATTTGGAATGCATCTAGAAAATACTCCCAATTTAAATGGAACTAAAAGGAACATGAAACATATATTTGTGTGTGTTTTGGCCACCTTTGAGGGCCAGAATGTGAACCAGAATGTTGTCAGACCGCAGTTTCAGTCAGCCTCTTTGGACCTGCGGCCGAGGGACAAATTCATTGTCCTGCGAGGACGAATTCCACATTGTCTGGTTGGGAAATGTTGCGAAAATCAGAAGGCCAACTGGTTGAATCTCTCTGTGGAAGCGGCGATAATTGTCAATTGAGTGCATTCTAATTTGTGCCACAAAATGCCTCAAAACCCTGAGGCAAGGAACCCAATTGAGGAAACCCAATAATGAGCGACGTGTGAATAGCAGCTCGTTGTGGTAATCAAACTCGATCTCAATGTTGCATCAGTAATTAATTAATGCCGACCCGCGGGGTTGCCCAAGCAGCGGTCATCACTGTACCAGTATTTGTCAAATGCATTTGTGGTCTTTCAGAATATGGCAACTCATGGTATTTGGAGCTTATGATAATAATTTAAATTAATAATTATTGAATAAATAAATTAAGAATATTAGTTATAAATCAATGGTAGTTTTTTAAACAGTTTTTAAATATTTTAAGGTAATATAAGTAGTATGTATAACACATCTTAAACAAATCATTCTCACTTAATTCAGTCTTACACTTCATTTAGCAAATTAGAAACTGCAAATCTCATCCTAAAATCCATTTCCTCATTCCTCATTCACCTTTTTTGTTTATTTATTATGGTTTTCTAAATTTAAAACAAAATTAAAACTTTAGATTAACCGTCATGAAATCTAAACAATTGGCCATGAATTTTTGTATTTACAAAGTAATACATTTGAACATTCAAAGCTCAAAAAAGAAAAGATGTTTCGTCCTTTAATTCATTAAAGTAATATATAGTAAACAACATTCAACTGGATTATTTTTCTTGCACTTTTCTGCTTAATATATTGCATTTTAAGAGCTTAATACTGGTGGCATGTTGCAACAAAAACAATTGGTTTTAAGTAATTCCAAAAAATAGTTTAATGATTGCGAAACAAGAATTTATGAAAATGTCCGCTTTTCTTGCCTAGATAAATTCAACTTAATTGTATTTTACACCTAAAATCGAACAGATTTAGTAGACTGAAGTTCGAATGTGTTACTTGGTGCTACTCGACCAGCTTCTCGGCTGAAGATCCCTACAAAACGTGACTCTAATCCCGCTCTTTTCCCGACTTCAACCAGAACCACTCAACGGGATGAATTTGGAACGCAGCGCGTTTACAAGAAGACTTCGCCGAATTGTGTGCTAACTCTTTACTTGCCAACTCGAGAGATCACGCTAACCGGGAATAATCCGTCCGTTCTGCGCGGAATTGTCTACGTGGACCCAAAGGCCATTCAGGGATATCGCGTATACGCCCAGTTGACCCTGACATTCCGGTGAGTTTTTTTCAGTTTGCCATTGAAGTGGTTATTCCCCTGGACTGTAAGTGAAATTTTCCACTGCTCTTGCTTACTGAATGTGTCCTTATTTTCGTACCAATTTCAGTTATGGCCGCGAAGATGAGGAGGTGATGGGTCTGCGTTTCTGCAACGAGGCCATCATGTCGCTGCATCAGATTTGGCCACGTTTGGAGGAGCCAACTCCAGAGTCGCTCAGTCCGTTGCAGGTAATCATGGAAATTGAAATTATGCATGCTGCTGCGAGTTTCCCTTCGAGTTCTTTCCCCTGTTTCCCCCCCCCTGCTGCGAGTTTCCCTTCGAGTTCTTTCCCCTGTTTCCCCCCCTTTTTTTCATTCAGTTTTTGTGGTGACATCTGCTGGCAAATCCAGTTGCCTTTCACTTGCCTTTTCCCTTGACCATCTAGCTGTCCAACTTGCGGCATTAACAATTGACGATGTTGCAGCAGAGAGAGAGAGATTCCCACCCAATCCCACCCACTCCACTCCTTTTCAGCATCCCCAATTCCCCATCGATTCGAAGGGGGGAGAAGGCTATCTGCACCATAAATAATTGGACAATTTGCTGGGGCTTGCAACGCCATCATTTGGCACCTCGATTTTCCTTTCGCGTCGCTCGTTTTGCGGCAAGCGGATGGAATTTCAGCAGGAGTTGCGGTTTCTGCAGTTTCAGCCAGCTTCTGCCAGCTTCTGGCCAACTTGCAAACCCCTTGCAAACCTGCAAGCCAAAATTTTAATTCAGATCATTTCTGCCGCGAAAGCAGAAACGAGAGTGCGGGCTTTCGTAGTGCAAGAGGTATTGTTTATCCCAAGGGGCCAACTCAATTTACAACTAAATTAACTACTACACACTCTGCTACCCAATTTATCATTAGTTAAACTAAGTGAGTTTTCGGAGCTGGAATCTCCAACCACAAAGGTGAATTCCGTCCGCTAATGATTGAAAACCAAGAGTGTGCAATTAATCATCGAATTTGTAGCTATTGTTTGGGGGGATTTGCTGGATTTAATTCAGTGGGACGGACATGAAATATAACTCAGTGCGGGATTTTATCCTGTGAATGCTTAACAAACTGACTGATGCCTTTGCAACTTGGACAGACGACCCACTTCAGAGCTGCAGATCAATCCCCCGAGCCACTCGAAAGTGGAGGTCCCTTCTTGGATTTTTATGAGCAGCACGTTGAGCTCGTCCTTTCGTCCTTTCGTCCGTTTTGAGTCCTGACATCTCACGTGCGTCCTTGGATACATGTGCACATATATCCTGGGCATAATGTACATACATATATATCACATGATGGCTGCCCGTTGTTTCTGGAAAACCTACCACTCCCCCTTTCCCCTTTTCCTCCCCCCTTTTCCCCTCTCTATTTCCCCCGTTCGCCTTCCGGCGGTTCGATGCACTTAAACCAATTGAAAATCAATTTCATTTAACTAAAAGCCAAACAAATGTTTGCCGTTGCCTCTTCAAATTCTTTTGCATTGTTTCAGTTTCTTTTGCTGCTTTCTTTCTTTTATTTTTTGGGTTTTTGTTTCTATTTTTGATTTCGATTTTGACCAGGGATAAAGGACTACGGCTGACCGAAAACTTTCGAATTCAACTTTACGCATTTTTATTAAATTTCGCCATTCCACTTGCGAGCAAAATTTCGGCCAGGTTCTGGCCAAAAACCCCTTCATAATTTACTCGCAGGCAACCGTTTTTGTTTAGGACCCTCAGATACACACACACACACACATTTGGACCTACACACACACACACAGGGGCACACGCATAATTAAATAAATTTGATTTTAATAACTTGCCAAACGACAAGAGCCGGCAAAGATAAAGAAAAGCTGGCCAAAAATAGGTCTCAGCAAACAGATCAGACGACAAGAGAAGGGTCTTTTACGAAGGGAATAGTACACTCAGAGAAAATAAAGAAAATTTAATTTGAGAAGTTAATTTGTAGGAAGCATAATTAGTTGGATAATAATTTATTTGTGGGATTTATGGAGCTTACTTTACTTGGTTTTTTTTGGCAATGAACTTGAAATATAATCGAATTAAAAATAAATATTCAAATTACTGCAATTTAAAATTATTTATATATATTTAAAATAAATCCGAAAAATTAGATTGATTATTAAATTTAAATAAAGAACGAGTTTCTCTTTTTTGAAAGGCATTACCTTCTGCAACACAAAGCTAAAGCCACTTTCCTTAAATGCCCACTTTGATCCCGACAAATAAACGACATTAAAATGTTTGTGGCTTGGAGCTCCCAGCCAGGATCCCGGACAACGGAAGTCCGAAGGACATGGCCATCGTTGTCCTGGGAAACCTGAAAACACACGCGCTAACGATTATAAATACGAGTGAATACTTTTGGGTGAACCGTAAATGTGTGCAATTTTTTTTTTGGTTATGAATGCATTTTCAAACGAGAGAAACTTTTGATTTACTCTAATAAAAGTTGGAATATTTCCATAGTGCTTTAAATGAAAAATGTTGTTCAGTTGCCAACAGGTTTTTCATTTTGGAAATCAGGAAATTTTCTGGCTGAAAAACTTGTACTTTGAAATATGTTGCAGTGGATTTATTTACTGTACTTTCAGGCGGTAAAATTTATTAAATTTATTTATAAGCCGCCCTCAAAAGATGGTCCACTCCACACACACACACACACACATACATACACACACAGATACATAATTATAGATGTGCATAATGAAATGCAAATGAAATGCTGGCCGAAAAACAGAAGGGAAAATCGCAGGCAGGGATTTCATTGCGGTTCTTCTCGTGCGCTCCATGAACGAAATAATAAACTAACAAAATAACGAAAATAATAATAAACAAATAAACATATTTGATTCCTGGCCTTTGCCAAAGTAACCGGAGCAATTATGCGGAATTCGGCATCGGGTTTCCACTTCAAACGAAATGCTAATCCCCCAGTTTTTCTCCATTTCCATTTACCATTTCTCCATTTCTTCATTTATCGGTTTCTATTTCCCGTTTCTTTTTCGTTTTAGGAGGCATTGATGAAGCGCCTGGGCGACGGAGCCCACCCCTTCACCCTCTCGCTCTCCTCCTACGCTCCTCCAAGTGTCCAACTCGTTCCTGCGAAGCGCTACTACGGAGCTCCGATCGGAACCAGCTACGATGTCCGCTGCTTCATCGGTGAGTGTTGGCAATCCTTGGGATCCATTTCAAGGGGGATAGATAATATACAGGGGTATTCTAGTGACTAAAAACTGGGTACCTATTCAAGAGAATAAAAATGGGAGTAGGTTTTGAGGTGCACCCACACAGAAATGGTTTGCTAAATAAAAGGATAAAAATAAGAAATAATAGAAAATATAACTAGAAAGTAGGACACTAATATTAATATGAATTCTGAATGCCAAGTTAATAATAATCAATTTATGACTACATAGAATTCATAAAACACATATCTATTAAACAGGTTAATAAGCGCGTTTGCTTAGTAATTTTGAAAAACAACCAGACTGTTGCTTTTAATTTTTATGAAGTATTTGTTTATATTTGGTAGCTTAAATTCTCATTAGCATTTAGTAGGATTTTGAGGCACAAACAAATTTACGGAAGCTAGACGCTCAACTATATTATTCAAATTTAAAATCAATAAATGTAAATAGCAAGGAAAAGCCTGGAATTAAATTAAATCAGGCTTCACAAAGTTAGTAGATTGCCAAGGCAGTACTTAATTAGATTGGATTAAAGCGACTTTGACTTGCTTTAATTGTTTCACTAACAAAGTGGTTCAGGTAAACTAAAAAGAGAAAGCTGACTTTCTCCACGAGCTTTAAGGGCAGCTATAAAGACAATTCCACAAGGGGAATTGTCTGGAGCAGAATGAATGGGGAGTGGGTCACAGACAGACATCGGGTTTTCACCTGGAGCCCACTCACCCACATCGCTGGCATCCCCACAAAACGAAAGCAGAAACACTTGCAAAAACATTTACAGAAACAGTCAGTGAAACAGAAATACACCTCCAATCATCGCCTGAAATCACCTTCAAATGGAAACCCATTCATGCGCCATCAAAGATCGAGACATCGTCGCCAAGTTCGAGTGTAACAGGCAACTCGATTTCCACGGCTCAATTATATGTGTATAAATATCCATCTATCCGCCGGCAGCCACGCCCCCTTTCAATTTTCGCCTATCGAATCAATCGCTGACGTCAGCACATTGGGGGATTTCTGATTGATTTTCGAAAGGTTCTTTTTTTTTTTTTTGTTTTCGGTTTCGTTTTGTTTTTCAAGAGGGTGTTCGTGAGAGTGGACAGCCAAAGTTAATAAAAAATTGAAAGGAAAGTCACCTAAGGCAAGCCAGCATTTGTATGCTCTTTAAATTTAAATAAAGTTAATTATTTTTACCTAAATTATATACAATTAATTTTAAGGAACGTTTTCGTTGGATTCTTAAAACTTCGATTTTTAAATAAATAATAAAATAATTTAAAACTTATATTTATTTTTGAAATACCTATTTTGCAATCCACAAAGTTGTGGAACTGTAAAATTGATAAATGTTATTACAAATGAATCTGATCGATAGGATTTCACATTCATCATTTGCCCACGTACGTGTATAATAAAATATTTAAATCAAAAAAAGGTTTGTTAAACGCACTTAAAGCCTTAAAAAAAGATTACTATTTCCCCTGCAAGAGTATAATACAATCAATATTAAATGCTTTCACGGGGCGAAGCCTTCGGCTCGAAATCAGACTTAGATCCAGATTGAGATTCTGTTGATATTATTTCAGTCGCTCCGTGGCGCCTTGGGCGTATCGAAATATGTCCGTGAATCTATCTATATATATATATATATTTTTTTTTGTTTTTGGTTGGGCAGGAAAATACGAAATGCCGCAGTGTTTTTTTGCTTCATGCAATATCCTGTCAAATGAAACTTCGTGTGCGAGTTGGTCAGCGCCGCCAGCCAAGTAGGAGCTTTCTCCTGATCCCCAATCCCCTGTCTCTCGTCCTCTTCCTCCTCTCTACCCCCTTCTTAATACCCCCTCCCTCCATACAACCACCACCTCTGTTCCCACGCACAATTGTCGGATTCAGGATGCAAAGCTACCGTGCGGTTGCCCCAAGCAACGCACACAGGACATCCTTGGGGGAGGTCCTGCTGCTGACGCCTCTGTGCCTCCATAATTACACACTATCAGCCGTGGGTACAGTGTCCCCCCCCCGCCCTCCAATCCCCCTCCCCTTTTCCCCTTGCCCCTCAGGAAGAAAGTCCTTTCGAGCAGAAGGAACTTACCATAAGAACTGGGGAAAATTTATGGGAGAGCAGAAGTAAGCGCCTTGAAACAGATTGTTTTCGCAGCAAAAAGAGCAGCTCGCTGGCATTGTGTTGACCAACATTGAGGAGTAGTTACTGTAGTTAATGTTCGCCACTGATTGCTAATCAATTGTAGTGCCACAAGGCATTTTCGATTATTACAACTTGTTTCTTTGTTAGCAATTTATTTACAAGCCGCACAAGACAAAATCATTTTTAAGTGCCGTTTAACTATCTGTAGCTTTAATTTAATATTTATTTCTTTGTTAAGGAGATTAACTTACAATACAAGGCAATTCATAATAATTTAGTTCACCCGCATATCGCTGTTGGAAAATCTGTGCAAATTCGTGGACATTTTCACAAATTTTCATTACCACAAAAGCTGTTTGTCCAATTATTTCAATTTACGTGCCAGCTTAAACTGAAAATGATTGCAGGCCAGATAACAAATTACACACAGCCCAGCAAAATGAGCAGGCACTAATCTTCGTTAATTAAGGCTGTTTTACCCGGGGGCTCTAAATTTCTCACAGCCATTTCAGTTGCTATGCGTTATTAAATTGTTAACAGCATAAATTTAAATGGATAACGGTCACATGGCTTTTTATAAACCGGATACGGTTAGTTTAGAATTTAAAACCAATTGGTGCGCTGAAAACTGACTAAAATCCACTAATTCTAAGTCCATTACGTTTCTAATTTTATTCAGATTTTGAACGAACGAACATTAGTTAATTAAGTATTTTTTGTCTGATTTTTTTGTAATGCAACCCCTTTCAATATTTCCAAAAAAAAAATATGGATTTGTTTAAAAAAAAAAAAAACGAAGAATCCAGAAAGTATTATCTTTATTTATTAAATGTTTTTTGTTGAAAATAATAGATAAAAGTGTGTTTTTCTAACAGAATACAAATGATGTCTTTTATTTCTTATATTGGGTAATATTAGCGTTGCCAAATTAGTCACATCACATACGTACATCGAAACAAAAACACTTGTTTAGGAAAATGGGCTGATAGTAAGGAAATCTTATCGAACTTTAACTAATTTTAAATGTAAGGCGAGAAAAGCAGAACGGAAATGTGCATTTTGTAGATAACCAGCGCACTGAACTTGCGGGCGGATGCAGACCACACAAAAACGTGCATACATACATACATGCCTACATACATACATACATACATAATGTATAAGTTAAGCCCCAGTCATGATCGCACGCCCCTCATCACCCCGTATCGTTCGTATCGCCCCCTATCCAATCCCATAGAGCTCCTGAGCGAGGAGGAGCCCGCATGAGCCGAGGCCCCGGCGAGGGCGCCCAATCCGCTGGCCAAATGGGTGTCCCAGTTCTGCTGTCGCGTTTGCTGTGCGTGCATGTGCTCAGGTCACGACCCAGGTATATAGCGGCCATATCTCTCTGATCTGTTCTGTGCGATCTTGGAATTTGGAACGTGGAGTTTGGAATGTGCAGTGCAGTGCGCGAATGCGTGGAATGTGTATCGAATCGGATCGAAAGGAATCCAATCGAATCGAAATCAAAATCGAAATCAATTATTTATCGATACAATTATCGAATCGTTTTCGGCCACGCCATCGGTGTCGTTATCCTGTTGCTGCTCGTGATCGTTATCGTTATCGTTATCGTGCTCCTTTCCATTTCCATTTCCGTTTCCGTTTCTGTTAACTGTTTTCCTAGCGTTGCAGTCCGTTTCCTTTTGCAGTTTCTTGATGTTGTGGCTTGCTCTATCTCTCTTTCTATCTATTTTATTATAATTCCTCTCTGTTTTGTGTACGTCCCCCTGTCAGTGTGGGAAAGTCCCTAAATGTGGATCTTTCATAACGCTTCGGAGTGGTATTCATCCCTCTAGGTAAATAAAAAAAAAACCCTTATTTTTACTTCAATAAAAGTTTGAATTTGAATTTTGGTTTGAATATATAGCCATTTTTCCATAGATCCATTATCTGTTAATATATTTGCTTTTCGCTTTAAAAAAAAAAAAATAATTTTTTTCTTACCCAGAGTATAAATATTATATACGCCCAGATTATGCCCGCTAAAATATCTTATAGATTAAACAGTTCCATCAACAAAATATTAGAAAATTTTAAAGACCCAAAAACAAATCCAGTTCTATTTAAAATTGAACTTTGTAGACTAATTTCTTACTTTTACCTGGATACTACGAAAATTGTGTAAGTCAAATCTGATCAAAAACAAACGAACTAGTCACATTTCCATATTTCTAAAAGCCCAACAAAATTGTAGATAATAGATAGTGGATTTTAGAAGTAATTCGAGTACCACTTCTTTATGAATTTTAAGTGGCTTGGAGCTATGGAAACTGTACTGCAGATCCTTCCCAAACACTACTCCCTGTCTTGTCGTCTCTATCCTTCGATCCTTTTCGTTGTCGTGCTCGAACCTCTATTGCTCATATGGTAGAACCCCCAGATCCATTTACCCTGCATCTAAAACAACCCAATTTTCCATCACCAACCTCACTTTCATTCCATGTATCTTTTTCGCCCCTTTTTTGTGTACAACTCCATCTTCATTTGTTTCATGTTCGATGTGTTTGCAATCCGTTCAAGTGGCCGCCTGCCTGCCTGAGGTTAAAAAAAAATCAAATAAAAATATAAATATCAAATAAATCGAAACTCATGATCACTTGCCATTCGGACGATTGACGGACCTTGGACCGCAGTAAAAATTAAGAACAAGCCACAAAATTAAAGGATATTTTGCACAGAATATTTCCTTGCACCAATTGAGAAACTAGCAAGCGGCGGCAACGGCAGCGGCAAACTTAACTCCTTTTTGACCAACTTAATTGCTAACTGGAACTATCTTTTTTACTCTCTGTTTTCCTGATCTTAAACAATCCCGTGCAGCTGACAAAACCGATGAGAAGTTCCATCGACGCGCCTCCGTGAAAATGGGAGTTCGTGTGATTTATCGCACTGATGTCTTCAATCATCAATTGGGAGCGGAGCAATTTGCCGCCTTCGCGGGTCGTCATCACCAGTGCACCCACTCGCCGCCGGCCAGTGCCACGCCCCCTTCTTGTGGGGAGGCGGGGGAGCAGTCGGCATCCGCCCACGCACACACACACTCACACTCACAGCCGGCCAGCGGATCGAAGCACAAGTCGAAATCGGAGCGCGGCGACTCCTTCCCGAAGCTCCGACTTTCGCCAAAGTCCTTCAGGTTCAGCGGAAGATTCGGTCGCAGCAAGTCCGAGATCGAGAAGTGTCCCAACGATCCGTTCCACAACTACAGCAAGTCCTTCCAGGAGGTGAGTTTGGGTTTCATTTGACACAGATTTAAATTACTTTAGCTAAAATGATTTTTAAGTCGGGGGTTTTATTAATAATAGACTGAGCAGCCAATAAATGGAAATTATCGATGAAATTATTCAGTTTGAAAATGTACTTTAATGAAAGGGAAAATTGTGTAAGTAATCATTTTATTTAAAGAACATCATTCACGACACTTTTAAAAATAACAAGTTGTTTTGATAAAAGGCTACAAAGTGAAAAGCATATTTAAGGACAAGCTTAAACCTATTTTTTATTTTCCTGCCTGTGACCTGTGCTGTTTGGCTAAAATGTGAGTTTATGAAAAAGAAACAGGATTTTTCCCTCAAGGCCAAAAAAGCAAAAATTCATATTTTATGACAAGTTATATGTATAATATTAAATAACTTACTTCTGGCCTTTCCTAAGTTAACTTCAGGCACATAAAATATTTTTTATAAAACAGTATAAGGTGGCTTTAGTTTTTGCGGCAGTAAATGCAAAAACAATGAGATTTTGCAAAAAAGGTAAGTCCAGGCACACAAAACATTTTGTTAAAATAGTATTAGGTCTCTATTTGAGAGTTCATTAAATATAAACGAGACTTCTTACACAAGACCAAAAAGAAAAAATTAAAGAATTAATTTAGGACCAGTTGTACCTTTAATATTTCGTTTCTTAGAAGAGTAAAAGGTTGCTCAAAATTTCTGCAAGAATCCCCAAAATAAGTTATTAAATTTCTTAGTATGTTCGAGCGTAGCTCCAGTGGGGTTATGCCTTCTTATTGGACCTTAGTTTTCAGACCTTGCTGACTTCGTTTGCCTCATTTCAGCACTGCGACAGCATGTTGCCGCCGCACACAGGAGCCGGGGTCACCGGCGGCATTGGGAGCGTGAGCGTGGGTCCTTGCGGCGGTCCGCAGGGGTCGGTGGACAAGCCGTTCCTGCTCCACGACGGACGGGTGAGTCTGAAGGCCAGCTTGGACAAGGGATGGTACACCCACGGCGAGGACGTCAATGTGACCGTGAACATTCGCAACGACAGCCGCAAGACGGTCCGCAAAGTGCGGGTGAGTACTGTACAGTGTGTACCCTTTTAAGCACTTTCGAGAACCGATTCCGTTGTCAATTCAATGGAGCCATCCCCATTTTTTTTTTTGCTAAGCACTTGGTTACGCAGACGAGCATTTAGCATTTAGCATTCAGCATTCAGCGTTCAGCATTTAACATGGCATAACGTATACGCAACGTGGTGCCGTCGGGCGGAAAATGCCGGAAAACTGTTGCTTTTCGGTCTGGTTCGGAAAAATACATGCACGTTTCGGTTGGGGAATGTGGAAAAGGAAAAACCAAGGGTGCCGGAGGTTCATCATCTTTGGCATTCCCAAGTGTAGATTGGTTTAGGAAAATATCTGCGGGAGAACAGAAATCTTTTGCAAATTCAAGTGGAATTGAATTGATCCAATAACATTTAATTCATGCAGGAACTTCAGTTGATTTAATAATTTAGTTTACCTTCTACTTGGGATCGCTTTTGTTTTTAGTTTAGTGAACCAAAAAGGCTTTTTAAATTGCAGTTGGATAATTCCATGACTTGGAAACAGGTTAAGCAATTAGGATAAAAGCAACTAAATTTATTTCATCCAAAGAACTCTGCCATAGAATCTTGAATGCTGAACAGAATTCTAGCAACAGTAAAGGAATTAAATTACTCCTAACAAAATGTAGATCAATTTCCGAATATTTTGAACATGCAAATAGATAGCTTACTCCATTTTAATTGGCAAAGTCAAGTTAGCCTATGAATTAATTAGCAAACAAAAGGAGAATTAAGTGATGAGATCGCTTAATAAGTGAATAATTGGCTTTTGTTTGGAGAACATAGAACCGCTTTTGTGCCAATAACGTTGACACGGAGTTCACTACAAGTCAATTGCAAAGAAGACAATGCTTAAATATATTTATGGTCGACATTGGTCCAAGGATATCGTGTAAGACACCCACACTGACTCACTTAATCTGCATTGGCACTCAATCTATTCGAACTATAGGGGTTGGGTTGGAAAAATGGCACTCGATTTAAATACCCATTAGTTGAGGGCTTATATCCTACTTCGGTCAAAATAGTTTTTGCTATAGAAGCATAAAGTCTATGCCTGGAAGAATAAAACAATTTTAGCGATTTTATACAGATTTTAGCAAAAAGAAATTAAATAAATGGAAAAATAACTTTACAAATAAATAGAAATTTGAATTCATTTTAATCCTGGTTAAAATTTTAGCAACATAAAGAATTGAAAGATTGCTTAAAAGCTAATTATGGAGTATCTAACATATTTGAATGCGTTTTATAGGGTATCTTAAATTCTAGTTGCTGTTGCAAAAAGTGCCCGCGTGATTGGTGTTCGGAGGGCTGGCGAGTTATGTCGGTTAATCAAACGCCCTCGAAGGACAGGGACTCGAGTTGAGCGGATTGTAAAGTATATAATTCCCACCCGCCAATGCACTTGAGCCATGGGCTTCGATGACGATTGATTTACAGAGTTGATAGGAAGGCGAAGGGTGCCTTCCAAATGGCATTGTCCTCAGTTCAGTGGAATGGCATTTCTCCCCCACTCATTCATTCTAATGAACTATACCAATTACCAAAGATAATATTCGAATTACAAGATGCCGATTCAATCAGATTCAATTAATGCCCGGAAGACAAAAGATGGCTTTAGTGATGGGTTTATGCGAGTGTGGCGTGTGTGGGATGCAAATCCCTGGCTTCTCCACTTATCTCTGGCAACGCTTGTTAATCGCTGAGGGGAGAAAGTGGGTGGCAAAAAGTGGGTGGTGGATGGCGAAAGGTGGCTTGAAACTGACTGCAAACACACCTGCTGTCGGCTCGAATGAACAGAGTGACGGGATGACAGACGGCGGGGCGGCGACAAATCGAAAAGGATCCTTTGGGTCCGGAAAAGCCAGTTGATTCCTTGAGCACGCCCACTCACGCACTCATCCACACACTCACAAACACACACACACACACCCATACATATATGCAAATTGCGCTTAGCCGAATGAAATTGTCAGGCGAAGGAGCTTTTCCCCCTTTTTCCCACATTGCAAGTCCCCTTTTCCACGTAAAAGTGGGCGGGAGTGAAAAAGGACCTGAAAGGCTGGCAAAAGGCGCAGTTAAAGTGAAAATTGTGTTTATACATTTTATAGGCTTTAGTCCTGCTTTTTCCCCTTCCTCTCCCCCACCCCCTCCCCCTTCCCCATCAACTTTCCACACTTTCAGGTTTCCACAGCCTGAGTTTTTATTGTGCCCCAAAGGCCTTTCTATGTGTGCCGTGTTACACCTTCTTCTGCTGCTTCTTCTTCCTCATCTGCGGCTGCTTCTTCTTCTTCTTCCCTTTGGAGGGGGATCCCCCTTTGCTTTTTGCCCAGCTCCTTTGGCATTCAAAGAGAGGCACGCCCTCGAAACTCGGCCTGTATTTAACGGGCTACGGAGCGCACAAAAGTGCGCTACAGTTTCGCATTGTGTCGGGTTATGCCTTATGCCTAATCCTTGCCCAGCCCCTCCCCCCTCCACCCTCCACCCTCCACCCCCCCATCCATCCATCCATCCTTTTTCTGCTCCACTAGACCCTTTTGTGTGGACAAACGAGGATATGCATCGCAGTGCTGACTCAGTAAGATGGAGTTTCCATTTAAGTGTGGGGAAAATAACTCTTGGGTATAGATTAAATATATTCAACATAAGAATATTATTCTACTAGATACTTAAGATTCTGATTTTTAAATTAGATTCATTCAACTGATAGATTTTCCTAATTTTCAAAGATCAAGTGGTCAAACATTGAGCTACTAGCTAATTAAATTAATTAAATGAAAATACAGCATTTCATTTCTAATTATCCCTTCGTTACCGAAAACCATATGAGCAAATAATTGTATTTTATGAAACTCATAGTTCTCTACATGATTTGTTTGCAAAGTCTCGAGAACTCAATTGAATTGAATCCATTTGCACAGTCCACTGTTCTGTGTCGAATTTTAGTCAAATATTTCATTGTGCAATGGGTTTGCGATTGCGAGGAGTGCCAGGACTCGAATCGAAAGGACTAACGACTAAGCCGAACTGGGACTTTCTGGCCGAGTGGCTCCAAATTGACTGGCAGTAGGGGGAGGAAGAAGCGATGAAGGGGTGAAGGGGGAAAAGGAATCAGGTGGCCCAGTGGAGCATTGAATCGACATTTAATTACGTACCGGATATTACGCATACGAGATGTGAACACAGCCAAAGGATTCCTCACGTTCCGCAGACTTTGAATCCGAATCCAAACAGAAGAACCCAAGCAAATGGAACTTGTACGAGTACGAAGGCACATGGAAAATGCATTATGCATAATGCAAACACAACTCAATCCTGGGGAAAACCAACGGAGACAAACGGTTCGCATTGGAAAATGTTTTATGGTGCCGCCTGTCAAATGTTATTGTTTATTTTTATTGTGCCCCCATTATTTTCAGAGCGCATTGTTCATTGATGAACAGACGTTGGCCAAGAAACAGACGTTACCAATACAGTCAGCGGCAGAAAGAAGTTATGACACACACACACACACACAGTAGCACACATACACACATACATGGAATCGAGTTGTCCGTAAATAACGATCCATAAACAGTAGATTGAAGGAGACTTTAAAGCCAGACTGGCGACAAGGATAACTAAGTGCATGAGCTTTTCCAAGGATTAAAATAATACTCCATCCATATGCTATTCAACCTGTGATTATTTGCAATAGCTGCAATGAAAACATAGTTATCCTATTTAGTTACGATATTAGTTATCCTATTTAGTCACAAAATGTTCGAGAAAAAGAAGTCAATTTGCAAACTTCTGACTGAATTTATAATACCCTCTGCAAGGGTATAAAAACAACAAAGATGATCCCCTAATTTAAAGTATTGTTAACGAGATGTTAAGCTCACCGAGTAATTTTAGGTAAAAGCCAGAAAAGAAGGTCAGGGCATTCAAAACGAAGCCAATCAAAGAGTCAACTGAAGCATATTACCATTTGGGATAATCGGCTGAACCGTAAAAAGAGCGGGCATTTGATTGATTGACTGCTGCCTTTGGACATCCATTACATCCAAAGGGACATGATTCAAATTAAAAGTGAATGAAATCAGTCAACAAAAAACTTGTTGTTATTTAATTGATATTTTAATCATTTCACATGAAATTAAAATACAAAATTCTGAAGACCTTGATCTACTATATAATATAAACAAATAAGGGATGAAGAATTAAATCCAAATGATATCTGCAGGATATACAAATGCTTTTATCAAGTAAAAAATACTCGTATGTGGTGAACCATTACCCAAAATTATTTATTTGTGAAGTACAAATCCTAGCATTTGCCAACAAAATCCCACATCAGGCTCACATCTGCTCTGCATAATTTAAAGAGGCTGCGGCACTTCCTGGTTTTGCCAAGAATTGATTTTAAAGCAGTGGGTAATACTCTCAACTGGTTGTGTTCGTTTTTTGTGAAAAGGGAAGTCCTCGTGTGTCCTTGCTGCCCATTTTGGACCCCAGAGTCCTTGTCCATTTGTGACAAGTTTCAGCCATCTTTTATGCAATCGCATAATTCGATTTGATTTGATGGTCTTTCCCGAGCACCTCGATTTCCCCTCCCCCTTCTCCCTACCCTCCATCCCCCCTCCCCTGCGTCTGCACATTTTCCCCCCAAAGAAGTCTAAATGTTTCATACCCAGAGCCCAGATTTCTTGTGGGCAACTTCTGGGTCCTCCTGCTCATTTATTTTATTTTCATCGTGCACTTTGCGCCTTATTAAATATGTACACTTCTCTTTCTCCCTGTGTGTGTGTATATACATATATATATATATGTGTGTGTTTTTATGTGTGTGTTAGTAACTATGCGATTCTGAATGCCGAGATTGCTTTGTACTTTTTTAGCCAGCCGGCAAATGTCAAAAGTTACCTTGGGTGGTCCTTGGGTAACTTGGACATCTGTTCCTCAATTTCCATCGGCGTGGAATGGAATCGTTCGCCGTGGATGGAGCAACAAGTCCGCAGGCGAAGGATGAGGGGTCGGGGTGGTTGTGGGGGGTCAAAGGTCCTTTGGCCCCCAGCCAATTGAAAGTCCCGCCGGCACAGAAGTCGACACAAAAAGGCAGGAAAAAAGGAGTCTCAGATGATGATGATGATCAAGGAGTCGCGCGGAGTGGCGATGCCCATTTAAATGCTATATGGAATTGAAAACCGTGAATCGAATTGAATGAGTCGATGGCTGATTTTGATTGCTCATTTCTCCTTCATTTTGCCAAGGGGAGGGGCTCAATAATTTTGGGGAAATGAATGAGTTTCGTGAACTCCTCAATACTTAAAATCAAAGTAGGCTCCATTAAATGGTTCTCAGACGAAACGAATCGAAATGGCATAACCAATTAGTATTCATTGGGTTTTTTATTGATAAAAAATTTGGGGGGTAAGGGGAAATTAAAATACTTTACGAAAATTGGCGAAACCTTATTATGCAACGACGTTTTGTAGGGGGAGAATTTAATGAAGAGAGTTCCTCAAGTTTTTTGTAAGGGAATTATGATTTTATAAGACTCTTAGTTGAAATGTGGCAAGGAGAGTTTCCATTGCAGAACGTCATTACATATTAACTTATTTTTCAAAAGATTTTTTCAATGCCTCAAGTTGAGAATTCGTAATAAACAATGTTTTAAAACGCAAGAATAAAGTAGGGTAAGTATTTATTTATAATCAATCAAGATTTTCGGCGCGCTTCTTAATTATTAATTCAAACTCCTCTTTGATAACACAAATCATTCTTAAACCAATTTCTTATCATTTCTAATTTGTTAAGTAAACTTATACCTAAAATATATCTGTTGAAATTAATCAATCCGGGCAATTATATACTACTTTGTCTTGAATGAAACCACTGGCTTCTGATCGCAGGCGAGAGCCACTAAATAAAAGAATAAACGAAGGCTAAATTGCACATAAAAAGCAGCAAATGGCAAATGTTCGCCATCTAAAGTCGCCGCTGATGAGCTGCCAATATAAGTGGGGAAAAAACCAGGCCTGAGTTTAATTTATTATTTTTGCTACTTCCCCTCGTGTTTTTTGGCTTTTCCTGCATGGCTATTGTAGCACGGCCACTTGAATGGGCGGTAATTGAGTGCATTATCTTAGATTGGGTGGGATATTGGCCAAGGAGACATTTCGGCCGCAGCCGTAAAATAATGTTCGACATCGTTTGAGCCTGTCCAAAAGCAAACAGGACCCGAGAGGCCAAGTGATGGAATTCGGGACTGGAAATGCTTTCTATGGCCAAAACAGACACCATATTTTCCACAAATCGATATTATTCCGGCAATGGCTTTCTGATGACTTACCGAAAGTAATCTTATTATCTTAGTTGGTTCGACTAAATTCTATTTGTCATATATGCTCATTGGGGTACATCATTTGTCAATCAGTCTCGACTTAAATGCAGACATCTTAAAAACAAAAATCTAATTATAATTGTAAGCTAATATAATCTCAAACATCTTCAGGTATTCAGATATGATATTTAAATTTTATTTATCCATGGCGTAATATTTTTATTATTTTTTTAAAGGTTCAGCTGAAATTTTAAAAAACCTTTTGGTTTAATTAAAACCAATTAGATTTGTAACTTTGGTTTGCTTACATATAACAAACAACGAATTAAATAGTCTGCAAAAGGTTTCTAAAATATTTGTTACAAAAATGAAAAAATATATATTTAATACCCAGAATGCCACAAAGTCTTAATAAATAGGAAATAACTTTTCTTGAAGTATATGAATGTTAATTTCCTTTGATTGGATATTGCTGTTCTCAATTTTCCCAGTGGATTAGATGGGTTGTGTGGATCTGTCGCTTGATTGCCACGCCACCAAAATGGTCCTCTCCAATTACACACACAGTTCTCTGTTCTTAGAAATCCCACACTACGGGTTTCCTTTGAATATGGCTCCTCTATATATTATATATATATTTTTATTCCGATTTGTGTTTTCTTCTGCTTTCTGCTTTCCTATTTCCCCCTTTTTTACCCAATTTGTTTGCTGTTTTCCCGCAGGTCTGCGCCATCCAACACGTCGACGTCTGCATGTTCAACAATGGGAAGTTCAAGAACGTGGTCGCCGATTCGGACACCTTGATTCCAGCGGTAGATCGCACGGTGGCCGCCGGAGCCACTCTGAACACCACGGTGGCTCTGCGACCGCAGCGCGGACCCACCAAGAACTGGATCGCCTTGGAGGACACCTTGCAGAGGAGCACCGAACCGGATGAGATCACGGGTGCCATTGCCGCCTCGGCCATTCGCTCGCCGCACTTCGTGATGCAGAATGCCCAGCTTCTGGGTGGTGGTCATCCACTGGCCAGTCCGGCTCCAATCACCCCGCATCCGCATCTCTGGCAGCCGGGAGGTCAAGGTCAAGGTCAGGGTCAAGGTCAGTGCCAAGGTCACCAGTGCAATGGAAACGGCGAGGAGCGCAATGTGTTCGCCATTTATGTTTCCTATTACGTCAAAGTGAAGCTCACACTGAGCGGAATGGGTGGTGAGTTGTCCCTGAAGCTGCCCTTTGTCCTCGTTCACGTGGATGAAACCCAGCGTCCGGGCTTCGCCTCCGCTACTTTGGGTGAACTGCGTCTCGAAATGGAGCGACTGGCTCTGCAGGATGCTCCAGTGGGCCGAAGGAATGGCCGCCGGCAGGAGTCCACTGCCACCGAACTGGGAGATGGACCCACCACCAGTGCTGCTGCAGCAGCAGCAGCCGCAGCCGCAGCAGCAGCCGGAACCCAAAACGCTGGCGGGGATCTGGACATGATTGAGAGCCTGGACGATGAGTTCAACATTAGGGTGCCGGTGCCATCGGCGGTGGCGAAGAGTGGATCCCAAAAGAGGCGACTTCTCCGGAGTGAGACCCTAGCCAGGGACTTGGAGGAGCAGGAGGAGCGGGCGGCGCTGCCCGAGGAGGAGGAGCACATCGTTCAGATTCACCTGGAGCACGTCTCGCCCGACAGGGAGGATCTGCAGCAGGGGGAAAGGGAAAGGGAGGGGGAGCAGGGGCAGCTGGGCCACGCCCCCGGCGCCGAGACAGGGGCGGTTCCCAAATCATCGAATGTGTGATTCTGATTGTGGTCCCAGATGTTCGCCAGACGCAGGAGAAAGCATTAGTCGGCGCAATCCCCTCTGGATTAACTGAATGGATGGACTACTCCATCAATCGAATTTTATTATACATTAATTAGTTATCAATAATCATGAATTCATTTTCAATGCACACCAGCATGATTCAATATGCTTTCATTTTATTTTAAACAAATACAGACGGTTTTCATTAAAATGTTTACTATTTTAGAAAAAAGAAGAAAGGCTCTTGGTTATGATAAATAAACCAATAGTAATGGTTGGTAAAAACATCTGTTAATTTTTTTGTTTTTTAATGAGAAACAGGATAGTATGCTATTTAATTTGTTTAAAATAATCATCTGCCAAAAATAGTAACGTCCCATAAACAAAGGTTTTCAAATAAATATTTACTGTCCACAGAACAGAATAGGTTTTGATTTTCCATAAAGACAAGGTTTTCTTTAGATAATTTGCTTAAAAAAAAACAAATTTTTAAAGCGATTATTGTTTAGTAAACATACATTTGCTAACCAAGTATGTTTATTAACAATAAAATGTATGTTATTAGATTTAAAAGTTTCTACATTTTGTTATAATCTTCAGGATTTAAAATTATAATATAAAAAGGAAAAATCTAGATGTATTTTATAAGATTCAAAAACACTTGGAAAACAGTGTCTAAATTTAATTTAAAACCTATAGACTTAAATAATGTTATGCAATTCCTGCCTATTTTTATGTGTTGCTAAATTGAATGATTTGAAATAGTTGGGTGAACAGTTGAGATGCTAATTAAATGTAAGTCCGAATAATGGGTAACGAAAAATGTTGTGATTGGAATCAGTATTATTATTTCTAAATTTCCGCATCATGGTCTGTCCACTTTTAATTCCTTGTTTTTTGCCAAAAACTAGAAGTAACAGCCCTCGTAGTCATAGACCTACTGTAAAATTAGGCATAAACCATTCAGTTTCGGTTTCAAAAGTCAAAGGTAGGCAGTTAGGAGATAGAGAGATAGAAGTTAGAAGTTAGAGGAACCCCTGGATGAGTGGGTATTTGGAGAGAGCTTACAGTATTTAGCTGAGATGAAGGTTTCCGCGATTGGACAGCAAATAAAGGCAAACTGAGTACTTAGATGATGGCATTCCATAGGAATTAGACAATGAATCGAGGTGAAATTTTTGCAGATCAAATAAAATCGAACGAATGAAAGCGATAAGGGAGCGATAAAGCATGAGACAGGCATAAACTTAATTCGTAATATTAAGACCTATGATTTGATATTAGCCATGCAATGCGTTGAAATTGAGGATTTTTGGGGGATTGGCAGGGAAGTATAGCTGAAATCGGTATCGACACTGTTGAATCCACGTGGCTAGTGTGTCTACCAAAGAGCAAACCAACCCGAACAGTCACATATATTAACATATATTAGCTTAGATCCTAAGTGGGTGTGGCTCGAGTTGAATCGATTCAAATGCTCCGCATTAATTAACGACTAAGCAACAATGCCAATTGGAAAGCCCATTTTAATCGCACAGATATCACCACTAGGGTTACTCGACAGTGTATTACCTAAATAATCGCATATTAACCCAATATTAAGTGTTTGATGTGTATTTACAAAATCAATCAGAAACTATTACAGAGGCCAAAGAAGGCATACACACTTAACCAATTTTTGTGTGCGAAAATCTCGACGCGGTTTCAAACTGAAGAGAATGTATGTACAAAAAAAATAAATAAAATAAAGCATACAACCTACAACTAACCAAATCAACCGAACAGCCACACGAAATAAAATCAAAAAAGAGAAAAATAACAAACACATATCTGTGAATTTTCTGGCTTTTGTTGCCAACGTCAATGGTTTTTTTTGTCGCAATGGGTTATTGTGTAGTGAGTCAACTCAATGGTCAAATTAGGTAATTTAAGCAGAACGAAAGCGCAGAAATAGTTCGCGTGAAGAAAGGTAGGAGCTGTCGTCCTTAAACAGATGGCAAGCATAATTTTTGGAGGAGAATATTTATTGGCAAAGTTCCGAACAGTAATTAGTAATTAGTAATCCCTTCGAGGGATCGACACTATACTATAGTTTTTTAAAGCGTATTGAGCCGAATCCTTAGAGATAAGCCAGGAGTTTTGGATGAAACGGATAAATATCCTATTTAGGAGTACGCAGTTTTTGAGACGCGCAACATAACCACCAAGAAAATAAACCTAAGATGTCGCAGATTTTAAATGTTAGCTGTACGAATGAATACCCATATGAATATGAACACTATAATGAACGTGAATACTGAATACTGAATACCGATTACCGGATACCGAATACCAATATTAATTTATCTCTGTGTATAAGTGTCTAGAGTTAATGTGCAACATTGAACACACTGAATAATGATGAATTTATGAATGTAACACAACTTAGGTTATCTAACCTTTGGCTATTTGGCTTTTGGCTATTTGTGTGCAGATCGATATGCTGATCGATCAACATATTCGAATATACAACCATGGATATATAATATATATATACCATATATATTTATGTGCGTGTTGCTTTGGCGAGCCAAGCTAATACTTAATTTAGAGAACGCTTCACTACCGCATAGGCGAATGAAAAATAAACTTAAATGTGATGCATTTCTATGAATACACTAAACAATACATAACCCTATATACAATCATATATGTATACACTTTATTGATGGCTATTTAGACGTAAGACCCGCATTATCTCCTTGTTTTACCAACCGGACATTATTCCCAGCCCAGATTTGAAAAAAAAAGAAGAAAACATTTCTTTATGTTCCTCCGAAAATCTTCTCCTTTCCGTTCTACTTTGTTGTTCTTTCCGCCTCCAGAAATCCGGATAGCAGAGCCAATTGATTGATGATGAATCCTGGCCAGCAGTCAGTGGGTTGGTTCCGTGGGGGCTGGACTCTGGGGTCGAACTGAACCCCCCAGTAGAGCAACCCAAAATTTAATCCCGAAAATATAATGAAATAAATGCTTAACATCAAATATCACCAAAATCTCGCTTGTTCTCGCTTCATTCTCAGCAGGGCTGTGGTGTTCTTTTTGGGGGCAGGATAATGGCAGAGGGCAGAGCTCCCAGCAGGAGCTCCGAATCATTTGGCCTTTGGCTGACCGTCATTGGAGCCTGGACCAACCAAGCAACCATTAAGCGAACTAGCCGGCTAACACGGCTTGGCGTTCTCCCAACCAGCATGAAGCATCAAGCTGCCCAAAAGTCCTTTCGCCCATTCTGCCACCCAATTTCCCGCCACCCCTCCCCTTTTGGCCAGATTTCCTTGGCTTCTGACCCTGTTAACTAACATGGTCTGTAGAACAATTCTGGAGCCTCAGGAAGCTTTTCGGAGTAAATGGCCAGCAAAAGCTGGTTCCTTACTCAGAAGCTTCTTGGAGCTTTGGTGTAGAGAGTAAGTTCGATTATATTCAGGATCAAACCCAAATCACAAAAGCTAGGACTAGCATTTGGCAGACTAGACTAAGCTTATAATATCCTTTTTATACCCTTTTTATATCCTTTTTTTTTACTGATATCGCAACTGCTAAACCAGCGTTAAGTAAAATGGACACCCATTTATTATATAATAAAGTTGCATATCAGGTTGTTCAAATTTTTCAAAATAAATTTTTTCGAAAATTTTTGTGGGGGTCCTTCTTCATTTTTTTGCAAAATCGATTTTTTCATTTTTTTGACATTTCTTTTCGGTAAAATTTGCATAAAATGGCCAAAAATCGTGTTATCTGAACGGGAAAGGTATTTTCTTTCGTGTTTCTACCTCAATAATAAAGTTGCATACCAGGTTGTTTAAATTTTGCAAAATAAATTTTATCGAAAATTTTGTGGGGGTTCCCCTTCATTTTTTTTTGCAAAATCGATTTTATCATTTTTTGGACATTTCTTTTTCGTAAAATTTGCATAAAATGGCCAAAAATCGTGTTATCTAAACAGGAAAGGTATTTTCTTTCATGTTTCTACCTCAGTAATAAATTCGATTTATTGAAAATTAATGTGATCTAATGACTAAGGCTATGGAAAAGATCGTTATAATTGAAAACATTATTATGTCTCTATCTTGCTGAATTTCTACCAAAAGTCTGATAGCTATTACAGGTATCAAAAGTCGTTTTATATTTTTAATTTTTAACTACAAAGCCAGTTTCCTTTCCTGTTTAATAATCATTTTGAGATGATTCCCAGCAAAATTCAACAAGCGGAAATTAAATTTGGTAATCGTAACCCCCAATTCTGCAGACCCAATAACTCGAAAAACACACAACACTTTCTTAACATAAAGTTGTAATTAATTTTTATTTGATTTTTAATAATAAATATATTTATCTGTTATACGTTTTGTGTTTTCGTATTGCTTTTCTCTCTCTATATTATTCGCATGGGTTTTCCACTGTAGTAATTTCGTATATTTGTTACTTGTATTACTTTTTATATATATATATATACATATATATAAATTCTGGTATGTTTGCATGTGTGTGTGTATTTATATGAAAAATATGTATGCGAATGCAGCTCACAAGCACACACACGAAACTGATGCTGATAATTGGGAGATGTTTTCGCTAATAATCGGGAATAACAACAAATAGGAGAGTGAGAAAACAACAGCTTATGGCTCAAATGCTAATCGCTCCACAGTTCCTTGTTTTTGTTTTTGTTTATCTCTCATCGATTGGTTAAATTTTAATGCAATTAATTGACTTGTTTGCCACCCGCGTTCTTTTTCGATGCATATTTACTTAGAACCACAACATATTCTTGATAAAAAAAATATAATTAATTTAATTTAGTAGCAAACAAAAATATTTCTCAATTTCTTGAAAAGTTCTCAAGCAAGTTTTTAATTTGCAGCTAGATCAATTTAGTTGAAACCGATTACAAAACAAATAAGAAATATGATTACATTTTGAAAATGACAAGTAAGAAAACATTTTAAAAAAACTTTCAATATTTTCTAAATATCTGAGTCGGTTATTAATTAGTTAGTGGTTTCTTATAGAAAGAAATTAGATAAAAATGCTTTGTTAGATCAGCTGTGGTTACTTTAGTTTGTTGTTACAAAATAAACGCATTTCTCGTCTTTCTAATTAGCTTTCGTAAGCCGTATATGTATATCTATATGATCTGTATATATAAACCATTTGTTAGTTTACACTTTCGTTATCGTTTGTTTTATTTTTCTTTTTTTGTTTTGGGAGGCAAAAAAGGCACTATAATCTAATAAGTTACGACGATGAAAAAATTAGTTTTCTCTTTCGTTCCTTCTGTATATACTTATATATTTTCATATATTCACTTCACATTCACTTATTCTCCCTTGCAACATTCTTCAACGCATTCCGTTTCTTATTCGTAAATTAAATATGCACAAAAATTGGTGTTTCAAGTACTCGAAGTAATTCGTTAAATTTAAAATTTGTTTATTTATTCCTTTTCTTTTGTGTGTGAGGCAAGTTAAAGTTAGGTTGGAGTTTTTCTAGGTAAAGTTTAGGCATTGAAAAACAAGCCCCAGTTGTTAAATGCCCAATAACACGTTAACAGTATTTTTTTTGCCACTTAAACTGAGTATAATGACAAACGTAGATGTTAGGGATTAATTCATTTTTTTTTGTTTTATAAATATAATGTAAGCAATAAATTAATTAACCAATGACAAAAAGAACATATATATTTATATTTCTAGATAAATAATAAATAAAATACACACACAGAGTTCAACTGTTTTAAGCTTAATACATAGGTTTTTGTTTCTATAATTTTATCATTTGCTTTCTTAGTTTTTTGATTTTCTTAGATTTTTGTCAGACAAATTTGTAATGCGCACTTAGTTGTTAGGAGGACAACCAAAAATCGTACAATTGCTGCGAATTTTGTAAGCTCGGCGCACGGCCAAAAGTAGAAGTAAACTGATAGCTGTTTTGTCCCACTGTGCAGCCACAAAGGATCTGCACAGTGGTCAGATACTTTGCTTTCTGTTTCTATTTCCTTTTAGTTTTATTTAGGTTTGTTTTCGTTTCTCTCTTGTAGTTATGAATATATAAGTATATCGTATATAGTTTACATTAATAAGCCTATATATAAATTCATTGCTTAACATCGCTGTACTTTTAATTTATTTGTTTATCTGCATGTTTTGGGATTTTAGGTGATGGGGAGCTGCTGTTTTTTTTTTGGGGGGAAGTGGAGGCTTTGTCATCGTTTCCATTCATCGGTTAATCGGTTAATCTGATAATCGGTTATTCTGATAATCGGTTAATCTGATAATCGGTTAATCTGATAATCGGATCAAATGCAGCTATCGACTTAACTTAGGGCCTTCGAGTGTTGCTGTGTCGCTTGTGCAGCTGCCGATGTTATTTGCAACTAGCAGGTACGCGGATAAGGTAAGGTAATCAAGTTGGACACAGATTCCACACCCAAAAAACACACATGCTCTATGTTTACAGATAACGACGGATACACATAAATGTTTAGCTTTATGCACTTGGATTTAGCATGCTTCGTTACTTCGTCAGTTGGTTTTTCGTTTCACACCTTTATAATTTATAACTTGCCCTTCCTTTCTCTGCTCTACATCTCTTTATATTTATATGTATATATATGTGTGTATCTATGTAAAAGTTTACTTCTGTTGTTTGTTGTTGAACCTTTAAGGAAATGGAAGCGGATGGATATATTATTTCTTCTTGTTGGTCGCCAACATTGGGGCGCTGCGCTGCGGTGTTGTGGGTCTCGATGAGTTCATTCCGCTGTACAGATACTTGGCCTTCTTCTCCGATGGTTTCAGGATCTGCCAGAGAATCAGGAGAATAAGTACGGATCAGGTTTGGATGGGTGCAAAGGGTATCTCACCTGGAATGAGCACATGAGCGTGTCGTCCACGGTCATCATGCCGCCGGCGTTGTCGAACTCCCCGCAGTAGTTGGGCGCCGAGAACAGTGTGACCAGCTGACGACGCGCAAAGAACTCGTAGCCGTCCTCCACAACCTGCGAAGATTTAAAGGTTCTAAGTGCTTTCTTCTTGTACTCTGAAGTTAATAACAAGTCCAGCAATTTATTTTATATAACTAAACCTTTTATGGGGAATGTAAATTCCGTTCAAACAACTAGAATCATTTTTGTAACTTTAATTATCATCATAAATAATTTTGAGCAATTACTTTTATTTAAAACTATTTTATTTCAAAATAAATAGTTCATTAAGTTTATTGTGTCTACTAAAGTTATTTAAAAAGCTGTTCTTCTAGTTTTATTGTTATTATTTATATTCAAGTTTTTAAATATTTTATATATTGATGATTTTGCTGAATTCAAAGGAAGAAATCTATCCTTTTCAACTCATTATCCTCACCTGATGCGCACGACAGATCAAATCCAACTCGTGGCGGTTCAAGAACTTGGAGACAACGTCCACGCCGAACGTGAAGCTCACTCCGCGGTCGTTTTCCCCCCATCCTTGAACGTCCTTGTCGGGATCGCTCCACAGGAGGTCGCACAGCAGACCGGTGTCCGGAACGTCCGTGGGTCGCATCAGGCGACGGATCTGCTCCATTCCCTGGAGATCGGGACTCAGGCCGCCGTGGCAGCAGAAGATCTTCTCGTCGATGATCGCGGCAACTGGCAGGCAGTTGAAGCAATCCGTGAAGGTCTTCCACAGCTTTACGTTGTACCGACGCTTGCACTCATCGTAGAAGCCTGCCAAAAGGATAAAGGATTGGGATTACAATATTTCATTACATTTCATTGAAAAGAATTGATTTTTGGATTTTGATTCTTAGGATTTTGATTCCTAGGAAATGATTTAACTGAATGAACTCAAGCTTTAAAATGTTTTCCAAGATCAAACAATACAAAATTCAACATTTCTTTAGATGAAAATTGTTGTATTATTGTTTCTGTCAATTTTTGAATGTTATACAAAATAATAAACATGACTTAAAAATTTGGTTATACTTGAATGTTAATATGCGTACAATACTCATTATTTTATAATCATTGTAAATTGTTTTTAATTAAACAAAAAAATTAAATTTTGATAAAAACTAATTACAATTACATTTTAATAACCGTTGTACTATTTTACTGGCTTTAAAGTTCTAACAATTGTTTGAAACCACATTTAGACATTTACTTCATTTGAATTTAATTAAATTTTTGGACTTCACTCACCGTAAATCCTATTAATACTGGCGCACTCGTGGTTGCCGCGCAACAAGAAGAAGTTCTCCGGATATTTGATCTTGTAGGCCAGCAGGAGGCAGATGGTCTCCAGCGACTGCTTGCCCCGGTCGACGTAGTCGCCGAGGAAGAGATAGTTGGCGGCCGGAGGGAAGCCGCCGTACTCGAATAGCCGCAAGAGGTCTGTGTACTGGCCGTGGATGTCGCCGCAGATGATCAGCGGCGCCTCCAGCTCCAGCAGGATGGGCTGTTGCAAGAAGATCTCGCGCGACTTGAGGCACAATCCGCGCACCTCCGCCTCGGTCATCTGCACCTGTTTGCCCGTTCGGCAGCTGCGCACTGCAATTAAACGGCGAATTAGTGGGCGTGGCAAGTTTTTGAAAGGACAGAGTAACTATGGCTTAGCCTACGCTTGACTGGTTTTTTTTTATTAGCAACAACCGAAGGACGAAGGACGAGCACGACTATCGACGCAGACACGAGGAGACGAGACCACAAATGGAGGACGCTCTTCGGCGGGGAAAGAATGCCACAAGGAATGATCGCAAGCAACTCTGCGTGCAAACTACATCGGGTGTACAGTTGCGCTCAAAACATTAGCGAAGGTGCGATAATGTGTTTTACGGATTTGTTAAATGCTACTAGCCGAAATCTATTAGCTAATCAAATAACAATGTCCTCTTAGCTGTGTACAGAAATTCTACTTAGGTACAAAGCATTTACTAGTTTTTCGTTTGATTTTGTTTAAAAGCACAGTTATTCATATTAGCAGCTTGCAATTGTTTTTAATAGGTCTCTTGTATTTCCTGATTAACACAAACACTTTCATTTGAAATCCTTTTTGTAAGGTAAATTTATTTTACCGTAGAAAAAGCACATTGCAAATATTTCCCCAAACTAAACCCAATATACTCGTACTCCCTGCAGTGAGTGCTTGTTTAAAATGTATATTGAGTCGAAAGTCCGACTAAACCCAATTTACTCTCTAAATGCATTTATTCTGACCGAAACTATATATTGAGTCTGTGTGTGATTTAGTGTGTGTGTGTGTGTATGTATTTGTGTTTGGTTGTATGAGTCACACAATGTGCTACGAATTCCTGTTCTTGAGGATAATTGCAGGTTGTCGCTGCTCGAGGACCATATCTCAATGCCCTGGCCAACAAGTGGGCGTAACCCACTAGCACCACCATCAGCACCACAAGCAGCACCACCAGTACCACCCACCCAACCACTACACCCACTTTTCCTGCAATTAATTTTGTGCGAAAAGCGCTCCAGCCGGGGAAAACGATGATAGTGCTATCCTTTATCCAGGGAATACTCGTACAAGTAGGTCGTCCTCCCATCCTCTGCCAGGGTTTCAGACTGTCAGACTTTCAGGCAGAGTGTGTGTGTGTGTGTGCGCGTGCAGAAAAAATTTAATTAAATTTGGATAGAGCAAAATGCTGGGCCAGCAAGCAGCAGCAGCAGCAGCAGCAGCAGCGCTTGGCTCCGGAAAAAGCCGGCAGCAGACAAGCCCAATCCATTCGTCCTTGCCGTCGCAAAAACGTGGGAAGTTTGTGTGAGCCAACTCTGGATTTGGGTCGAGAGCACTGGCTGTCCCAAAAACGAAATATCGCAGCACCATGTGCCCCAGGATCGGGTGTGGATATGCCATGCCGCCTTTTGCCTGGTTGCCGCTGCTGCTGCCAAGTGAATCTGGGGGCCTGGCCAAAGTGGATTTTACTGGGGAATGAAGTGGGGAAAGGGGTAAAAGGGTAAAAGGGGGTAAAGAGTTGGCTAGCGGAGAGCCAAAGAGCCAATTCCCAGTACGTCAGCATTGCACTTTGCCGCAGCTGTGATTTCAGTAATGGTTAATTAAAATTATCGCACATCGATGGCAACTGAGTGCAAAGGGGATTTAGACTTTAATTTACTGCAGCCACTTTGATTGAATTTTTTTTTTTTTTTTAAAAAGCTACCCCTTCCCCATTAGTGGTGTTTTATGGGTTTGTTTTTAGGATTTATCATTCGTAGGTGGTGCTGATAGATGGTGATAATTGGAAATTGGATTTCCATAATCCGCTTACGCTTAGGTTAATACTGATTTGATAACAATGTTGTAAGCCACTGGCAGTGCAGTGCAATCTTTGAGAGCAGTGATAATAACATCAGTACAAAACTGATAGCCTCAAGTACTTGGGCTTTAGATTAAGCCTTCGTCATATTGGTTGGGAATGCGTGATGTAAGTTGCAATTTTGATAACATTGAGATAGCAAAGTTAATTCCTAGAACATTGTAATAAAAAAGCCACGTTGGTTCCCTTATTGGTAAAATAACTGAATAACTATACACAAACTGTTTGAGGTTCATTACAACAAGATGTTAAATAAGGATAAGAAAGTGTTTATCAGTTAGGTGGGAAAGATTTTTTGAAAGTAAAATGGCTCCTTCAATATAAAATATATTCTTTTAATGTGTTTTTCTAAATGTTTCAACTCTCAGTTGATAGTTGTTCCCACATTTGATATTACCAGCAGAAGAAATCACAGTGAATGTACTTCCTTTCCCCAGGAAGGCGGTAGTTAATCAAATGAAAAAGGGGAAAAGTTCTTTTGCAACCTTTAGCACTTTGGTGCAGCAGCTTGTGCTTAGTGTCAGCATTTTGGCATTAGGAAACCTGGCGAGGATGTGGATTCAAAGGAGGAGGAGGAGGAGGAGGAGGAGGAGGAGTCGGAGGATGAGGAGTTAAACACACTGAATTATGCAAGCCATGGGTTCATGCACTCGCAGAAGTGGAATCCGTTTAAGTTATGCGAGGTTCCTTTCCGGGATGTCTGCTCCTTGCTCCTTGCTCCTTTCTCCTTTCTCCTTTCTCCTTGCTAACTTGGTAACTTGCTATGCTGCTTTGTTGCTGTTGCATACTTTCGGGAGATGTATTATGCAACACACCCAGCAGGGAGACCCAAACTTATCAGGGAATTACTTCCGCGTGTGCATAAATTTCGGAGAGCATCTGCCCCACGTTTGCCAAAGATTGTTATTCAGCTCGCAGGAGAGTGTGTCGCTTATAAAAGAGATTTAATAGCTCAAATAATGTGGGATTAAGTGTATTCTTACATAAAAGTTATAAGAAAACAATAGTTATATGGGTAAAATAAATTTTTCTAACTAACTAAAAGTATTTAAAGTGTGCAAGTTACGATATTTCAATATTTAGTTTGTCACTCTAAATATCTCTTTTATTTTATAATAGAGTAACCATCTGCATAAACGAATTCAGACCATAAATACTTGATGCACTTGAGCACGAATCGCAGTTTCCCTTAGCCCCTCTCCACATTTTTATTATGATTCAATTCTGTTTTTCGGGACAAAACCCCCTTTCGAATATTGTTTACCCGCTCGGGTTTCGATTCGGCGACCCAACTGCGATCCCAGCTGTCATTTGCCTCATATTTGAGCGGCTTTAAGCCCAACACTTTGACACACATGTGCCACAAAAATGCAGAAATGGAGGAAGGGAGGTGCTCTGCTGGGTGGGCTATAGATGGATGGAGAGCGAGTGATAGGAAGCTCTTTATTTTTCATTTTTATGCAAATTTCCGCAATGTTCCACTCCACACACACACACACACACACACACACACACATATATATATATATACCATATATAGAAAACCCGACTGCTGATTCTACTGCTGATTCTCATGATTCTGCTGCCCACTTCCTCGCAGGCTGTCAGGCATTTGTCAGCATAAAGAAGACATCACGGAAAAGGGGGCGTGGCATTCTGGGGGTGGGGGGTCTTGTGGGTAGTGGGTGGTTTTTGTTTGGCTGGGTGGTGCGATGTAACATTATGCGTAAGCAAAAAGACGCGCATGTTTGTTTATCATGCATTTTACATGAGGAGCAGGCAACGCCGCAACGCGCAGACATCAGGACATCAGGACATCAGGACATGGTTACGTGACGAATCCACTCCGAACTCCGAACCACATGGGAGATTCCTTCCTGCCTTCTGCTGTCTACTGTCTACTGTCTGCTGTCACATCTAACTGGTTCATCATGATTAACAAGTCTTAGCCGCCTTCCCCAACCACACAACACAGTTCATCCCTTCCCTCCCTCCGCTTTTTTTTTCCCGGCAATCCACCATCCATCCATCCATCCATCCTTCCCTTCATTATCGCCCCCATTATCCTTTCCCCCCAGGTTCCTTCCTCCATTTCCATATTCTGTGGCCCGCCGCCGCGGACAAATTAAAAATGTAAGAAAACATATGGGCTTTTGAGTGGGACGGGATTTGAATGAGATGCCGCAACAGTTGATGGCTTACTTACGAGCAACTCATCAACTGGGACCAAGAGCATTCCACATACGCTTCATAAGGGATGCGATGTCGTTATTGTATTGTACCAATATCATTGGAATATCAGGATGTGCAACATTTTAATAAGTGGTTTCGATTAGCGGAATTCATTAATGAACACAGCACATTTGAAAAACATTTTGAGATTTAATTATAATAAAATAGAAGGGGTAAAAGTTTTTAAAATGGAGTTAGGTACCTTGATAATACGGTTTATAAGTCCGATTGATAGAAAATAAACAGTTGAGCATACAATTTTGATTTTCGACATGACTTTAATCCATTAATACTTTTTTTTATTAGTAACTTCATGTAGATATAGCAGATCAATCATTAAATTAAATGTGAGCACTCTTTCCATTAAAATAGTAATATATATATAAATGTTCTCAATCCAATAACCATTCCATCATTCCAATTCCATCCTTCTTCAGACAGTTTATGATATTGCTGCCCCGCCTACTCAAAATACCTGCTCCTAACTCAACCCACTCACTTCCGAGGGCACTTCCATTGCGATGCAAGAGTACTTTGCAAAACGGAATCCATCACGAGATTCACAATTTCCCGCAACGCGGAAGGACTCCGGGGACATTTGATGGAGTCGCAGGAGCGTTTGCGTCAGACGTTTTATGACCCGATTAACTCCCAGGAGGTGGATGTTAGCCGTGTTAGCTGTGTTAGCCGGGTAGCCGCGTAGCCGGGTAGCCGGTTAGCCTGGATGTTGGCCAAAGTGGAGCAGCAGCAGCTGCCAGAAGTCAAACACTCGTCGCCCTGCGCACAAAACTTTGCAAACGGAACGAAGAACGAAGCCGGAAGGAGCAGGAAGAGCTCTGAATGAAAATGCTAAGCCATTTAGATAGGAAAACTAAACTGCCGAGATGAAAGTTTGTGGACACAGCAGGCGAATAAACACGACCAACGCGACGAGAGGAATTGCGACAAGATAAGGCGACAGGAAAAGTTTAGCAAGGCAAAAGGCAA